CAAGTTGTCACACCACATTTGCACACAGAAATGCAAATGTCATTTCAAGTCCCATAGTAGTATAGATAGATAGAAGAAGTATCAGCAGTAATCGGAAAGATTATTGTTCAAGTGAGATAAATTTAGAAATGGAAAGTTAGAGGTGATGAGAAGAGATTCAGGAGAGATTAGAATTCGAGAGAGAAGACAAAGATTGGAGTCATGTCATTCATAGTCTCTAACAATCGATTAATATCGTCTAGCGGACCCCAACCAAGGTAGTCTAGTCTGTCTAGTGTAGTTTTAAGCTAGAAGAAAGCTACTCGATGTCAAACCAAACGACGACACCAATCCATGAAATCATTGAGAATTGGACTGAGCCATGCATGTTAATAGGTATGGACTACTGCTTGGTTGGGAGTTAGTTGTGTGACAGTCATAATCAGCGGTTGGAGATTTTGAATGATATGGCTTTCAATCGTTTGCAATGGTGCAGAATGTAATCACTATTTGTCTTTTGTCAAATTCTAAGCTTCCGAATTCCTCACTACCTTCATCTTTCACTAGGATATACTTCTTGAATCATATTTTTATGATTCTTAACCTTTTTTATAGTCAATAAAACTGTTTCTACTACTGCTACTGTGCTATTTGAACTAACAATTCTATCTCTGTGTGCCAATGCGGTATGACAATTTGAACTGATGTACGTACGTACCAAGTTCTACGTTGTAATTAATTGACTGGGAGTATTGGACGGCCGTTTCATCCTTGTATCATGGGATTCACTAGTCATACCTATCCACGAGATAGCAAGTTGAAATCGAACCCAGGACGTTCGATTTCGCGCATGAATGTCTAACATGTTGACTCCTGAGTCGCTATTCTCCGTATTAACATCTGAATTTAATCGATCTACACATCCATGGTTCTTGATGTGTAAAGCTGCCTCACACCCGATACAGCTGAACTGCATCAGTTGCAAAACGGTCGTCCAGTACTTCCAGGTTTCCGATAGTGGCCTGACATTTATCGGTTTGTGATTTCAATAAAACTTAACAACCTCCACAACCCTATCCTGGCAATCAGAATCCAATCACATTTATTTTTGTTACGGACATAGAATGGGAGGAAAGTTATGCATACTTAGGTCATTATTAGGTCATCTTATGTTAATTGGGTTTGAGATGATCATCGTATAGCGAAGTGGCTGGATATGTTTCACTTTTTTTGTTTACACAAAGCTGCAGCTTTTAAAAAATTCGAACAATTGACGTTCGGAGGATTAAGAGTCTTAAATTTTGGCAGATAATTACTGTAATATGATAAATAACTTATTGTCTGTGATCGATTTTATGCGATAATAATTAGATAACTGAGTCATCAGATTGACTAAAAATCATTGGCGATATGCGCGCGTGCGCGCGTGCGAGAGATTAAAGGTCAAGGATACAGTTTACTAAATGATGGAATTTTACGTCTATCACTGAAGGTCATTCGAAAAATAGGGATGAAAATTGATTAAAGGTCATAATAATTAGATGGGATGCAACGAGTGCAGATGTCTGTCTGTAGCCTATATGTCGGTTGTAAAAAATTCAGGATAAAACTTTGTGTGAGGCGGGGGTGGGGTAGGTACGTGAGTAAAGCAACAAAATAAAAAAATGGTGTACTTAATGAAAGGCAAGAGACCCGGAATTTCAGTTTTGTGGCTTTACATTAATGGCGATCCGTTCAGTCGTTTTTGAACAACGCAGCGTAAGAACTTGGCGGGAGCGGGGGAGGCGGTAACAAAGTGCACACGCGTTTTACAGTAGAATCGATTTGTTCTGATAGACGATAGATGTCGAGTCCAGTGATACACCATGGTCATGATCAGTTATATGTTACAAAAGAGAGGTTTGTGCTGATGTAGTTGTGTTCCGAAGAACAATGAAAGCTCCTACAACCAGCTCAGAGAAAGAAAAACTCCACCACATAAAAGATATTTCTATACTTATCCTTTAATGATGACGATATTGTTGATTTATACAGAGAAAACTTGTATTTATAGGACATGAAATCATGACACTTGTTTACTTAAGATAATAATAATAGTTGTTGACTGTTAAGGTCATATTTTATCCCTAATACTAAAACAACCTCATAATACACTTTATTTTTGAAACCATGAACCGATCAATGTTAGAACAGCATTAGAAACCTGGAAGCACTGAACGGCCACTTCGCCCTGGTATGGGACTCCTCAGCAGTATGCATCCACCACTCCTGCATCCCGCAGGATTCGAACCCAGTACCCTCGGTATTGTGCGCGGACGCCCTAACCGTCAGACCACTGAGCCGGTACTCAACGGTGTTAATGTCTAAGTTGATCAAATTCACGGGGAGTCCCATGAGGAGTCCCATACTAGGACGAAACGGCCGTCATTCAGTGCTTCCAGGTTTCTAATGGTGGTCTAACATTGATCGATTCATGGTTTCAAAAATGTGTAACTTAACAGTCTTCACATCCCCGTAATACATATATACTTTATGTCACTGAATATGTCGATTAAGATTATTTATGTGTAGCCTGAATTAAAACAAAAATTTTTGTATTGATCCGCATCAACTTGTATTTTCATCAAGGAAAATTCATTAATTCAGTCTCTCTATTAATCAGATAGTTAGTTACAGTGTACTACCCCTCACGGTAGTACAGAGACAGTACAATTGTCAATTCAAATAGATTACGTCACTAGTCACCTAATAGTCAAAAGTACAGGTGGATAGTAGGAAGGCAGAGGTGTACTGATAGTAGATGTAAGAAAATTATAAAATATTATAACTAAAGTTTTATCAGTAGTAGGTCAATGGTGGATGAATAGACTTCAAATAATCATTTAAAAAAACATCAAAACCATTACGTAATAAGCAAATGTGGTAAAAGTAAAAAGACAACATCAATCGTTAGTTACGTCATATCCGGCCACGGAAGAGATAGGCGTGTCACGAATTTCTTCTGAACACATAAATTGTGGTTGAATGTACGTATTCCTATGGCTTCTACAATGTGTGTAGGAGACGGGATCGAACTCCGTTGAAAAATGATGGAGGTATACGATAGATCATCTGGAAAGATCTAGATTTATCTACAATGTGACCACTATCTACCAGGTGTGCTAAGATAGAACTGCGTATTGTTTTTGACTGACCCTTCGTAATTGTTACTGGTAGATGTTCACTCATTCGTTGGGTAAGTTGCCTGGATGTACGCCCGACGTAATCTTTTTCATTTCATTGTGATTATCACTCAAATTGCCTTGATTGGTTTAACATTTTCATATAAATATATTCATGTATATTAGAGAGTATAAAGCCTGATGACGATCTAATCGAAAACAACCATATTGTTCGCTTATATCTGTGTTGTTCTAATTTTCAAAATGGGAATCTTGAATAATTATTGAACAGAATACAATTTTTTCTAAATTCAATGATTATAAACTATGCCATATGTAAAAAACATAATAATTTTTTTCCTTCCAAATTTCTTTCAGATGTATCCTATTTATGCCGTTGTGATGCCAGTTCACCTGATGCTTGTATAACACTACTTCCTACAGATGAACCAAAAGAATGGATACGTTGGTTAGAAACACCATGTGGTCGATTAGATGAACAAAAAGGCTGTGATCGTTTAACCGCTAATCATTTTCGTGTATTACCTGCTGCAAATCTATGCAGTACTCAATTTAATGCGGGTGATATGATATTTGAATGTGAAGGTTTACGTGTTGAATTGTAAGCCTCAGTAACAACGACAACGTATGAGATTGACTTATACCACTCACTGCTCATCGTCGAGTCAGATGAATGATGCAATCAACATTTGTGTTTGATTTTTCTCAAAAAAAAAAAAGTCATACTTGCTTTTGTGTTTTGCTAAAAACTAACAGAACAAAAATCAAATAAAAATTGTTATTTTCTCTCTCTCTCTCTCTCTCTGTGTTGCTCTCTTTCAAATTCCTCACTGCCGCCTCAAATGATTTACAATCGCCTCATAGTTGTATCATTCACTCTATCGATTCCGCAAAAAACCTGTACGCTAATTTATTCAACATCACAAATGCTGCATACCTCATATACACACACATATTGATTTTTGTGTTGATGAGGGTTGTGTTGTTGTTGGTGGTGTTTCTGATTTTTTGTCCTTGCTTGCCATTCCTTCAAACTGTATTCACGTACAAATGATATTGTTATCAATTGTCGACAGTGTCTATTCTCTTTAATGCTTCATAATATCGACGATGTGTTGTCCGACGGGAGGAGTAGTAATCTATCTATCTATCCGCTGATGAATTCACCAAGGTCGATCTTTGCAATCTCAACTATTTTCAATTCACTGAATTTCGGAATATGTTACACAACGAACGATCTAATCTATCTATCTATCCGACTTATAATCATGTCATATATTATCATTGTTTTTCTTTTGCTGATAACGTTGAACATTGAAAGATATGTAACACCTTCTTGAACTGTGAAGAACTTACTTGTTCACAAGTTGACTGTACTTTCTTGCATGTTTCACATCATGTCGCATCATCTTTTATCTTATTGTATTACATAGACACTCACACACACAGACTGTAATTTCTTTTTTTATCTCTAAAAGTTTAACTTTTATTTTAAACACACACTGGGCTTTGATTTTGTTTTAATTTGTCCTCTTTGTTTGTTTGTTTTATTTTCCGGTTTTTCTGTTCTTTTTTTTTTAATTTGATGAATAAAACAACCAAATCAACGTTCAATATTATTGATTCATCGATCGATATTTTTTTTTCATTTTTTCGCGCTTAATTTGTTCAACGTTCAATTTTCTCAGTTGAGTTGAGTTGAGTTGAACTTTTTTTTCTGTTTTAAATATCCAGTGGTTTACCATAAGTTAACTTTTCCTTTTTACTCGTAAAATTTACTTGTCCACTCAACACTAACAACACTGACAACAAAATGCTTGCTATCAAATTACTCTCTATGCCTTCTTCATTTGTGTTTGTCATCTTAGCTAGCTGCTAGCTAAATAGCCTACTCGAATTCTCGATATCTATATTTATATATATATGGACATTTGTAATTGCGACAAGAGATTTTTCGAAAAATGCAACATTTACTTGAAAATAATATCAATTCATTGCTTCATTGTAGATGTTTATTTCTATTTTGTTCTGTTGGCTATAACTGTTACTGTTGCTTGCTGTTTTCGCGCTTATCATTTGTATTATTAATGAAGTTTCGTTTTTGTGTTATTCCTTATGCGGATACATTCATTATGTCTGAAAGACGAAATTTTCACAAACATTCTTTTACCATCTATGTGTTAAAACATGAATGAAGAAGAAACAGCCGGGGGAGAGGTTGTTATGTATCATTTCGGTTGATAAAAATAGTGTCATATGTTCTTCATCAAGTACAGTGTGTTTTTATTTTTGAAAATTTTCTTTCAGGAACAGTAAATACACATCGTTCTTGAATGATCTGTGTGTGTGTGTGGATGGAACAAGTAAGAAGTATGCGTGGTTTGTAAATTGAATTGCATACACTATGTAGAAGTAGTTCATTACCTGGAAATGCAAAATGTTTATTCAGTATTGGTCTGCGTCGGCATTTGAACTAGTTATAGGGTGTCAGTCAGTCAGTCAGTCAGTCAGATGCAACGTAGAACTTCCTACGTAAGTACATCAGTTCATGTTGCCATACCACATATTAGCACAGAGATATAATTGTCAATTCGAATCCAATAGTAGAAGAGGTAGTA